TGCAAAGGTGAACAACTTGTGTTTCGCGCGCTCATATGACCTTAGCAGTTGCGAGCGCCGTAAAACCTTATACTATACATACATACATATAATTGTCCAATCTATAAAATATGTGTATCTATGTTTGTTGAATATTGAGATTTTGAAACCGACCCTAGACTGATGGAAAAGGACAGTTTAACTTACGTCAAATCTCTGAAATGCCGATTTGACCCAGGTTTTCTCAACTAAGTTTTCTTTAAAAAATTTAAACGGCAGTGTCGGTCTTTAACGTTTGGGCAAAGAGAAAAGTTAGAAAAACTGACCTCCCTTCTCCACCAAACACACCCTCCGACCACCCTCACCCCCCCCCCCCCAACGTGACCGAGCCCTTATTCTTCTCTCCAACAGATGTGGACCTTTGTAACCCCAACCCGTGCTCCGACCACTGTGAGGAGACACATAATGACCAGGATTTCGTCTGCACTTGTCCCAATGGCACCAAGTTAGCAGACGACAGGGTCAGTTGTCAAGGTGAGTGAGTGTCCAGTGATCAGAGGCTATGACTGAGGGAGTCGCCGTACTCCCTAAATTCACAAAAAGATTTAATGCTGTAGAAATTTATCTGAATTTTGTTTAATGTACACAATGATGACATTGACTAGGCAATTATTTTGAACCAAATGCTTTCCTCCGTCCATCCCACTTATTTAGTTAGTTGCGAGCGCCGTAAAACCTTATACTATACATACATACATTATTTAGTTAGTCAGATGGTGAGTTATACTATACCTCTTGTCCAAAGGAAAAATAATTGTGTATGGAGTGAGTAATGCAATAAACTGGCAAAAGAACAACACATACCCCCCCCCCCAAAACAAAACAAAAACAAAGCAACAACAACAACCAACAAGCCCAAAACAAAACAACCAAACAAAAAACAACAACAAACAAAACAAAACAACAAATATATCATGACAAAAAACAAGAAAACAAGAAAACAACCAAACAAAAAACAACAACAAACAAAACAAAACAACAAATATATCATGACAAAAAACAAGAAAACAAGAAAACAAACAAACCAATAAAACAGGACCAAGTTGTGAAAGCTACCACTCCATCTTTTGTTGTCAGAATCAAGTTCTGTGTTTCTCTCGGGAAATAGTTACGGTAAGAGTCCTGAGTTTACATCGAATCTGATACCCCAATAATAAAATCGAAATTCAAGATTCAAATGTTATGTTTTTTTCTTCCGAATGTATGATCTGAAACAGGTACATTGGCGTTCATGGTTCGGCACTCATTTCTCCCCTCAAAAGCAATGGATATGCTATACTATCCTTATATTTTATTCTTGATTATAGACATACTTTTTACCATGGATGAAAAGTTTGAAAGGATTCGAATTAAGATGAAAAATGCATTTTCTTCTTTCAGAGTGCCCTCCCTTTAAGTGGGGACATGAGTGTGTCAGTGAATGTTTGTGTTTGGTTCCCAACACCATAAAGTGTGTCCCGGAGAATGGCACTTGCATTTGCCTGGATGGCTGGGAGGGAGACAACTGCACACAGGATGTGGATGAGTGTTCTGCAGATCCTGATGTATGTGCAGACATTGGTCACAGTCAGTGCGTCAACAGTGACGGGGGGTACCAGTGTCGCTGTCTGTCTGGCTTCTACAAACTTAACGAGACCACGTGTCAAGGTGGGTGTGTTTGATGATGGTGGTGGTTCTACATGTGTGCCAAAGTAGGTGTGTTGGTAATGGTGGTGTCATGCGTCGAGGTGGGTGTATTGTTGCTGATGGTTGTCACACATATTATTGTGTCACGGTGGGTGAGCTGCTGTTGGTGATGGTTTTTCACATAGTGCCAACGTAGGTGTGTTGATGGTGGTGTCGTATGCCAAGGTGGGTGTGTTTGTAATGGTGGAGTCATGTGACAAGATGCGAGTGTTGATAATGGTGGAGTCATGTGACAAGATGGATGTGTTGGTAATGGTGGAGTCATGGGGCAAGACGGGCGTGTTGGTAATGGTGGAGTCATGGGACAAGATGGGTGTGTTGGTAATGGTGGAGTCATGGGACAAGATGGGTGTCTTTTTGGAGATGGTGTCCCACATGTTGCTACCTCAGAATTACGAAGTTGTATCCGTACAGTGCTTAGTTTTGAAAAATGTGACGAAAAATGTGACGTCAAAATATTTGAGAATCACAAAATGTCAAGCTTTTTCAATTGCAATTCTTTGAATATCTTGATAACAACTCCGTATATTCCTATGGCTTTAATAGAGCAGGTAGAGCATTACATTTAAAATTTGCGTTTCGGCTTCATGGTCTAAGTAACTCAAAACGGCTAAAAATGTCAGACAGAACTTTGGAATTCTGAGTCAGCGATGTGCCAATATGGGTGTGTTATTATCGGTGGTATAATGTACCAAGGAAGGTGCTTTGTTGGTGATGGTGTTACACATGTGTCAAGGTGGGTGTTTTTAATAGCGGTGGTGTCACAAGTGAGCTTAGATGGGTATGTTGATGGTGGTATGATGTGCCAAGGTCGATGCGTTGTCATCAGCTGACAAAAAGAAATTTATTTTACCATCTATGAAACTTAAAACAATGGGTTAAAGGGCATTTGAATACCAATGCCCCGAGATCTGGAATGCTTTACCAAGTACTTTAAGAGAGATCAAATCTTTTGATTCTTTCAAATGTCAGCGAAGTTGTTTCTATTTTTAAATTAATAAGATGAATATTTGGAGTAATTTTCTTTAGTCAGAACACAACGTTTTATGTAACTGTTGTACGTTGTACTGTATTGTAAAGCGTTCAGAGCCTGTGTACTTTAATCGGGGTTGAGCGCTATATACATGTCTTTTACTATTATTATTATTATTATTATTATTTTTATTATTATCATTATTATTATTAGTGATGATATGATGTGCCCAGGTGGATGTGTTGGTGGTGGTATGAAGTGCCAAGATTGGTGTGTTGTTGGTGATTATGTCACGTATATGTCCAAGTGGTTATGTTGATGGTGGTTACGTCAAATGTGCCAATATATTATGTTGGTGACACAACAATAAGATTTCTATATGTGTCCTTGCGGAAAAAAGACATCGACAGCTTTAATTCAAAACAGCCTATTGATTTCTAAAGCTCAAAGGCCTTTTCTGGGTTATCCCAAGGCATAGTTGATACAGCGGTGCTCATCTGACCAGTTTTAATTTGAGCACAGATTATGACGTACGGATGGTGAAACACAATTCCATACTAATTTCTTGGTAGACATCTGAGTCTAGTTGGAGAGAATTATTATTGTTTTATCGCAGTCATCGAGCCTGGGACAGTATACATGTGTATGTGTGTGTGTGTGAGTGTGTGTGTGTGTGTC